CTGCTGGGTGGGAGGAGGTAGAGAAAATCAGGAGTGAAGTTGAGCCCGGGAAGAAGGGAGGGGTGAGGGGAAGGTGTTTTAAGATTTAGTTTTTATTTCTCATTATCCTACTGATTTCATTGGTAATAAATTAAATTAATTTTCCCCAAGTCGAGTCTGTTTTGCCCGTGACAATAATTGGTGAATGATCTCTCCCTGTCCTTATCTTGACCCACGAGCCTTTTGTTATATTTTTTTCTCTCCCCTGTCCAGCTGAGGAGGGGAGTGATAGAGCAGCTCTGGTGAGCACCTGGCATCCAGCCAGGGTCAACCCACCACATCAGACTAAAATCTGTTCTCCTTAGATTAAATGGGGGTATCTTGAAATTATCAAACAAAACCTCTTCAAGAGTGTGTGATTTCTAGCAATTGAATATGATAACGAGCTGTGTAAGCTCAGCGAGACAGATATGTCTCCCATCAGATATGCTACAACACTTCTACCATTAGCAGAGCCATATGAAAGATTTTTATCTTAAAGAAAGTTATGCAAGATCCATTTCTTTGCAGAAATCCTTGATTTCCATCTTTTCCCTTTAGTGGCATCTACATTCCAATCACATTTGGAAAGGAATGGAAGTGCCGAAGCCCTTGCTATATTTTGCGTTCCTTTCTTTTTCTGCATCCTTAAGAAGTCTCCTTGCTCTGCAACGTAACCAACGCCCAGCCCTGAACTGATGGCATTAAAGTGAAGGTTAGTTAGGAGAGGTTTCCTGCAGCTTTCCGAATAGGATGGCATCGCAGCTTCTAAGAGGTGCATGAGTATCTTGTGTAATAACGCACCAAATGAAAATTAACGTTTAGACATTAGCCTAGAAACTGTGCCCATTGTAAAGGGTGTCTGTAAATAGATTAGATCCATCTATATATCAGGATTAGTTTGCATATTGTCAATCAGAGCTTCACTGCCCATGAACTTAAGTGAGAGCGTGGCACTTTACATGTGTAATTACTATACCATTACCGACTATCAGTACATCTCTAAGGATGTTAGATATGGCCTCTGTTGCTGCCCCCAGTTTGCAGTAAGGAAATTGAAAGACAAATTAGTTTATTCAATCAAGGTCACTAAAGCAGCATAATTCAGGTATCTCAAGCCCAAGGATCTCTCCATTGAACCACACTGTCTCTTTATACTCTCTGAAATTGCACAAGTGATGCAGGAAGAGTAAGATTTTCCTTCTGAAGAATACTCGGTTAGTTCTGGATATTCACAGATCATTAAGGTGAGGGTGCTATGGGAGAGCTTTTCCTGCAAGGCTGGGTTGACAGGGTGGCACCGCAGCAGTTGCCATGACAATGGCTGAATCTTTGCAATGACATTGCACACACTTCAAATGAAAACCTGAGCAACCTGATCTAGTTGAAGATGTCCCTGCCCACGGCAGGGGGGTTGGACTAGATGGCCTTTAGAGGTCCCTTCCAACCCAAACTATTCTATGATTCCATAAAACCTGTGCAAATCTCAAAACACTACCCAATGCTGTAAGAAATCTGACGAGATCCCAAATCACCTCCTCATCTCCAATTAAAAAGAGCACCATGCATGAAGGAAGGGAATGCAGATTGATTGTGAAAGATTTCACCTCTGCCAGAGCTGAAATACAAAAGTGCAATGCAGAAGAATTTTTCTGTGAACCTCCCGATTTTGGAAAACTGCAAGTCTACTCACTATAGACAGGGAGGAATACTGTATTCAGGAGAAGACTGACTATCAGTAAAGACAAAAAAAATTGAACTCATTCCCTGCCCTCACTCTCCAATTCGTCAGAACACTGAAGAAATACAGAGATGCCAGGGAAGGGAAAAGTTTAGTGATAAGTACACTCACCTAATGCATTTCGTAACTCCTTACATTCACGTCTAGTGCAGGCAATTTGCAAATGGAGTTGTAAAGGAAGAGAGCATACACTCACCCCTCTATGGAGTCACAATCACCTAACACCAAATCAGATGGGCTTCTACAGGATTCCACCCATTTAGCAGCTTTATATAAAAGCTGGTTGTATCCAGTATTGAATACTAGGTAACAACGAGCACCGACACATCTATTATTTCTTTTATTTTCTATTATATGCTCACATCTCAAGTTCCTTTAAGAGCCTCCAACTCCCAGGCTACTTGCTATTTCCAAAAGCAAACACATTAGCATTACCTTTTGCTGCTTCAGACCGCTTGGGCAAATCAAGTGTATCAAAATTCCTGTCCAAATCTCCATTCTTCTTTCCTGTGCAAAAAAATAAGACAACAGATGGAAAAGACTGACAGCGTACTGACAGGTAAGTTACTGTCATGTGCATCTACAAGATGAGAGAAGATACAGACTCAGAATATAAATCACAGACTATTATCTGTGTTTGTACATATCTGACTTGCAATCCAGCTGCATAGCTGTGGTTTTAGCATGAGCAACTTAGGGACAAAAATCCCCGCTTTCAGACTGATCCGCAAACATACTTAGCACTAGCATTTCAGTGGGTCTTAAGAGTGCTTAAAATCATGGAAAATTGTGCCATTTCCCTTCTTGGCAAAGCTACGCCCCTGCCTCAGAAGCCCAGTATTTACTTGTTATTTTCACAGAGGAATTTTGATCTGAAGCTTAACTGAAGCAGAAACTGAGCAGCAAAGCAATATATAGCAGGCTTGTTTTGCAGCCTCTATTCTCATTGTGACTATCAGGCAGGAAGGCCTAGATTTAATATATTGTACAGACAGCAGCCAACAACTTAACCTTGAATTGCCCTTCAATCAATAAAGTGCCATTTTGACTATTTATTAGAAACTAATGGGAACAATTCCATACTTTTGCTAAGAGACAGTTTCAAACCATTGCATCAGCTTTGATTTATACAATCCTTCAGAAAAAGCAGAACAAAACCTGGACTTTAGTTTTAGTTAGGTTGGGAATTAAAGGTTATGTAAACAGCTGGGGAGGGAAGGGTTAATTTTCACCCCCTCCTGTGCCCCCAAGGAGAGACACTGCATTGGGTAAGCCTGCATGGATGCTGTGGGATAAGCAGGCACCTTGCCATCAGAGATGTACTGACAGCAGAGAGAGAGATTTTGAAGTGCAGGAATCTGCATGGCTTCTGAGGACAGCAGTGTACAATTTAGTTTTCCCAAATTATTTTCAGGGGGAAAATCAAGTTATTTAGTCCCTCTTCCTCAAGAGCAGGGGAGGCAGGTGTGATGGGGTGAATTCAGAACACCGCAATTTAAGCTGCCAGAGGTGGCTTCTGAACAGGGACTCTGCCAGGCTGCTAACGGAGTTTTACAGGAAGGGCTGAAAGCTCCATGAGTCAGGATGCTTAAAAGGAAACAGGAAAATGGTCCTTGAAAATGTAACGTGGATATTAGTCTGACTCTTGACTGGGAATAGGTCACGAAATGGGAAAGGCCAATCCCTGCCCTGTTACAGGAGGGAGCTGGTACAGCTTCTGCACAGTGAATTCAATGGGCCACTCCACCTTTCCTCTTGACAAAAGGATAAACATATGTAGTACTATACAGCGAAGAAATAGAGCTTTTAAATACCAATATGAATATTTAGAAATAACATCAAGAGGGAAGAAACCCCCCAAACCTCGAGACAGTATTCCATCCCCTCCCTTTCTTTGGAAATATCACACACTTTTGTTTTGAAATGCCACACAGAATACCAACCAACTTAACTACTGTGCAAAACAAAACATGCATCGAGAAATTCTGTTCATCTGAAGTGATTTGCTTAATTATATAGAGTACGAAAAAGCCCATCCAAGCTGCCAAAAGGTCATGCAGCCAGGTACCATACCACTCCTTTGAAAGGTATCTTTTCTAAAGGAAGGAACAGAAATTAGCTGAACTTTGCAGCCCTCCATCAGGTTTTCGCTCCATGAAAGCACCAGAAACACGTTGCTTGGGGAATCAAATACCAGAAAGAAAAAATGCTGTGCATCACCAAAGGACATTACATTTCATAATGGCAGCTGAACCCAGTTACTGGCTGCAAACCCTTGTTGACCCTTAGAGCATTGACAGGAAAAAGCAGGGCAGAGGGAGGGGGAAAAAAAAAAGCACTGAAGGAAGGAAGTCAGTGTTTAGGAAAGATTACAGACTTAAGGCAGACAAAAAAATGTGACTCCATCTTATCTCCAAGTAGGACAAACTGTTTTTTTACATGACCCCGAATTTCATGTCCCTGGCATTAGCTAGTTTAAACCTCAGAACATTTACTCGGAGAGCCAGACCTTATTCAACCCAACTAGTCATTTCAGAAGTTCTCTCTATAATTTAAAGGTTGGGGTTTGGTACTTCTATTAGTCCTGCAGAACTGAGATGGCACAGTAAGAGCTCCCTTCTTTCTAGTGCATTGTTTAGTAAGCAGTATGTATTTGTGCACAACTTTTTAAGGAAGAGATTGTCCAGGAGAGCAGTGTTGGCTGCTACATCTTTTGAGCTAGCAATGCAGAATCAGCTGCCTATTTACTAAACCATCTTTCATTAAGACAGCACACTCCACCTGTGCTCTGTGATCTTCAGTTGCTGTCTCAATTTCTGGGCCAGACTGCAAATACTGGCTGTCTTCTATGATGCCTTTCCTAGTTTGTCTCTCAGCCCTCCGAGAAACTAACCCACCTCGCAGGCAAAACCACGTCTGTTCAAACCAGAAGCTGCCAGCTGTTTACGAACAGAAGCAATTCAGAACACAGAGCTCTGACCAAGGGGATTTAAACTCTACAAATTACTTGCTTAATCAAATTGAGCAAGGGCCAGGTTCAGAAATACCAGAAGCACCTACATTTTCCAGGGCTTTCCTATAGAGAGAAGGTGACCAAGCTGTAAGAAGACCCCAAAAGAAATCCATCTAGAGGGCAAAGGTTTCAATCTGCGGCCCAGCTGGTGTTTTTCCCATTTGATTTTCACAGTACCCACAAATGTTGGTTTGGCGTTTCTAAAAAAGTGACCAAATTTAGCAAGTTCAAGAGCCTACCAATTACAAACCTCTCAGCCGTCCCCTGGCCTGACTGATACCATGAGAAAACCAGCTTCACTACCAGCTTCTGTAGCTCTGAATGCCCCCCTCTGTCACTCAAGCCTGTCAGTAATGCTAGTGCACAGGGATGCTGAAACGACCACACTAGCCATAGAAGAGAAGTTTAAGATCCTGTTTTTGTACATTTCAGTTTCTGCCCTTCTATGCATCTCCCCGATCTCTAAGTTTTCCAGCCCGAGGTATGCCAGAGAAAAGACGATGCTGTTGCATCAGAAGCATAGATCCAAACTTTGCCAAGAGACAAACAGCTTTGAACATGCCTCTGCTGACAGGTCTGTTTTACGAGACCTGGCTGTAGGAATTGGCACAGCACTCTGGTTTGGGAAAACTGCCTGACATGAGACTTGCTTGTGCAAGATGCAATTTACAGTCTCTGAAACAGTGGGATTAAAATTCTTTCCCTCTCCCACCCCACTACTTTTCATTATGTAAGAAACAACCAAAACATGACCTTCGGCATTTTCAATCTGTCAGAAACTCAGTATGGACTTTGAAGTGTGACCCAGCGTTATTAACCACTAATGTTGTTGTTGATCTTCCTCAAATGTCGTTTTGCTTTACTGGATAATCAAAACAGCTATTCAGCTAGACCATTTTTGCTGAAGGATTAGTTCCCAAATGTTTTCTTTCTGGTTTAAAAAAAAAGTTGAAGGAAGAGAGATTCTTCATAACATCCCCCCCCAACACTCAATACTGTGCTTGTTAATACACTAATTGAACTGGAGTGTAGCAGAGCGACAGAAAGCAAGGGCTGAGCTCTGTCTTGCCAACATGCCCATCCTCCACAGGCTCACCAGTCATAGTCTGTAAGCAGTGTCTCACAGAACACTACTGAGCACCATTGGTTGGGTGGAGCAATTAGGGTGTCCCCCCCGCCAATTTCTCCTTTGGCTTAACCCTCCAGAACCCACTGATCTGAAGCAAGTGTCACAAACTGAAAATTACCCTGCCTTTACCCCCAAATCAGTCTCAGTAACTCAGTGGAAGTCTCCAGGGCACTCATAGCCTAACAACTTCCCAGCCAAGAAGTGAGGGAGGGCAAGCTTTAGCCTCAGCCTTGTGTATTCCAATTGCAATTTTATTTATTGTGCTGGGGTGAGAAACTAAAGGGCATATCCCCAGAGGCATTTACTAGGGGTAGCTTCATCTAGCTAGTCTGAGTGCCAGTAATAAAGATGCAGCAGCCCAGGCAAACGTACCCAAGCAGACAAAATACCAAGGATCCCTGAGAATACACATCCAAGCTGCTGAGTCTTCATGGCTACTGCTACCCAGACCAGCTAGCAAAGCTGTACTTTGGTATGACAGTGTTGGTGAGGCAACTCGCACACTTAGGTGTTCCCTCTCTCATGGGGTTATCAGGCCAGTTGCAAATCAATTCCCTTACTGCACTTACACCAGGAATGAATAAAACCTTGTCTTTTCTATTCTCAGTGCGGGAAGACCAAACTGCAAATGCTCACTCAATTAGAGGATTTCCATGCCTACTGAAATGAACAGGAGGATGCGCTGGGGGAGCAGAGGAGGCGGTGAATGAACAAGACCTTGATCTCAGCTCTCAGCCTTGCATGTAAAAGCTGAACAAAGCATGTTATGGTGATGATGAAAAGAAAGTATTGCAAAGACTCACCTTGATTGAACCACTCCTCTAATTACCAGAAAAGCAGCAAATGAAAAACAAAAATTTACAGGAAGGAAGAAAATACAAAGGAACAGTCACAAAGAGGCAGAATTTCACAGAATAGGTTCAAAACCTGAGTATTACAAGAATACTACAGAACTTTCAATTAAAAAACCAAACCAAACCAAGATATTCTACTTTCTTTGATCTCAGCTCTCAGCCTTGCATGTAAAAGCTGAACAAAGCATGTTATGGTGATGATGAAAAGAAAGTAGACTCAAGACTCACCTTGATTGAACCACTCCTCTAATTACCAGAAAAGCAGCAAATAAAAATTTACAGGAAGGAAGAAAATACAAAGGAACAGTCACAAAGAGGCAGAATTTCACAGAAGGCTCAAAACACCTGAGTATTACAAGAATACTACAGAACTTTCAATTAAAAAACCAAACCAAACCAAGATATTCTACTTTCTCCCTTTTGTTCCTGCTGAAAAAAACCCAATCTTTCTCTGAGTATCTTTTTTTTTCTTCCTCTCTTCATTAAATGAAAAAGTGCTCACAGATCTGAGGGGACAGAAAGATGACTAGCCCTTTGCAGGGGTGTTTGAAATGCTACGATCAATGACCATGAAATAAAATAAACTAAACATGGAAACACTGCAAGATTAAGTGAACAAGAGGGGGAGAGAATTGATCTATTTTAAAGTCCTAGACTGAGAAAATTAAGGCAGGTTCAGACCAGGTATTCACATAAATTTGATAGTGAGAAAAGGAAGCTTCTCTTTATGATTTTAAAAGCACATTTATGAATGGATTTTAATTTTTATTTTTTAAACACAACAGTTGCCTGTCCCCCTCTATCCTTCTGATCTACCTACTACCAGCTGCGAGCTCAGCATTATTATCAATTGAATTCCCTCCAGAGAAAAGCACACTTTAAGAGCAGCAGTGCAAAAAGGGGGGAAAAATATGTTAAAATATACTTTGGAAATTGTCATTTCCTGCTGAACACACAGAGCCAAACCCAAGCTGTCACCGAGTGCCTGCATTGCTCGCCAAAATCTGCACGTTCATCCTCAGTGTCAGATGATTTTGAGACCAATTTGTCCAAAAAGACATGATCAGATGCTTTGGCTGACAAACAGAAACTATCAGGGTGTTCAGACACAGAAGGTATATATAGGTCGGCCCCAGAGGAAAGAGGCAGACACTTGACAAAGGACAGCCACCTGAGAGCGCTCTCTTTTCACTGTCATCAAGAGGATGATGACGGTTCTCAATCAGCACACTCCCCTCGTCCCACAGTGCACACTCATAGCTTTTATGTCGTAAGAATGTTTCCACTGACTGCGTTGCTCTCAAGCAGCAAAACAACAGGGACTGCAAGTGGCAGGGAACAGGCTCGAGTCAGCACATGTTCAAGGTTTCCAAAGGATATCACAGTAAGTTCTAGTCATTCACTGTGAGAACAGGCTGACCAAGCAGGTAAAATTCTTTCTTCGGTTTTTCCCCCAGTCGTTAAAAGATTCGCATCTTTTTTTTTTTTTTTTTTTTTAAACAGAGTTTAAATCTAGTTGATGACAGACTAGTCTGCAAAAGCAAGTTCACACTGTGATGACTTCCCTAATACATATGGAAACACATAACGTTTTAGTAACACGTACAGGTCAGATCAAAGAAAGAGTAACATGCAACACACAGTCCGTCAAGTTCAAACAATTCCATATCGGCTCTTCAGGACCAAAACCTTCCTTAGACCTGGCTATAAATAGTAAGCCAGGATGTGAGTACACATGAATGAGTAGAATGGAGCCTAGACAGAAAATGGAGTTAATTATCGCCAAATTCAGTCTAGAAGAGTCATTTCTTTAAAACAACAAAGAAAATTGATATAATTTGAGTGTCTCTTTCTAAAGGAAAGATGGAAGGGGGGTTACTGAGACTATTAATCCTCTCTTGTAATGAAACTCATTTGCAACCATGCCCCAGAGGACAGAACAGGTCTAAAAGTGACTGACAATTAAAAGCTACAAAATCCTGTTTGCAATTTAAATTAGTGAAAGAGTGACAGAATTGGGAGGTTGTATGTTTTGGTTGTGAGTCAGAGGGTAGGCTTTTAGTTTGTTTTCAAATATGAGAGACTGGAAGCATGGAAGACGTACAGACAGGAGTACCATGCACGGGGATGAACGCATGCTGGCCTGGCTTCCACAGGCCGTGACACATGCTATACATCCAAGAAAGCAGACTAAGCATAGATTTGACAGATGCAAGAACACAGTAATGCAGAGGAGAGGCAAAGCACATCCACCTTTGTCCAAGAGCAGAATGTCATCTGTCAGCATGCACCACTTGCATTTAAAGCCAAACAAAACTATAGCAATCGTGGAAAAAATTCCCAAATATCTAGTAGTAATGCAACAAGGGAGACGGACACATGCCACGACACTACAAACACGTACCTCCACAAACTGCATCATTCTAAACCAGCATGATGAATGTGCTTGCAAGAGCAGGCCTACACAGCAAAATTTACCCCCAAATCCCGTTCCAGTTCTGAGCTCTCTGCAACACATACCTTTAGCTTTTTTCCCACCAAAACAACCAGCGTCGTCTTTCTTCTTCTTCTGAGCGCCTCCCGTGCTTGTAGTCTGACTGGCATCTAGTTCTTGGTACTTATCAGCTCCAGGGACCTCTTTGTGGACATGATAGGAAAGGTTCCGCATGATGCACACACAGTTCTCCACAGACTGTTACAGAGAAATTTATGTTATACTAAGTATTGCACCCTCTTATTTGCAAACCATTATATTATACAGTGGAGGGTTTGGGGGAATTTAAAAAAAGCCCACCTGCCCCAGGAAAAGAATGTAGCTTTTGAGGAAGATTTAGTCAAGACGTCTTAAATTAAGGTTCGTTCTTGTTCTAAAACTAATTTTATTCTTCCAAAAGTGAAGCACTTCATAAACAGTACCCATTCAAAATGAAAATTCTCTAATCAAAAATACCACCTGATCTTACATAAAGAATACAATTCACCAAAAGATCAAACATACAGCAGAAAACTATCATTAAGGATCTTATTTTAATACAAGCCTCTCTCTCATTCTTCCAACCTTTACAATCCCCAAGGGCCCATTTTATTAAATTTTCTCTGGGTCAAAACCTAGGCCTCGTGAGGATTTCAGTGAGAACACACGTTGTCCTGTAGTAATAGCTAATCCATAGGACATCAGGTTCTGACAAGAGCAATGCTCTGTAGGTTGCAATGGAAACCACCAGGTGGTTACAAAATCCACTTCCAAAATTATCTGATTAAGTGACAGGGCTTTATAATTCCCTTGTACAGTCCCTCACATGGTGGGACTCAAAAAGAATAAAATAACAATGCTTTACAAGCCTTATTGGTGTTATAAAGCAACAGTATGCTCTTTCTTTTTTAAACAGGTTAAACTCATGATATTCCTTATGCATATAAATATGCTTTTAAGCGCCACAGGATGAGATGATGATAAAAACAGATTAATCAAAATCTGCACCTAAAAAAAGCCACAATGAAAGTGCTGCAGGTCTGAAGACATATCTTAATGTCTAAGCACTACAGTCTTTAGAGATGGTGCTGAATAAAGTCTTTAAAATGGGAACCGACTCCTTTGCTGGTATTGTGCAAAGCACAATACAATGGGACTCAATTCTGATTTGGAGACTGCACTTATAAATGTCAATTAAGTAATGCAGAACAATAGCAGTAATGTCACTGACAATAGTAAAGGACTACTCTCCCCACCTATGACGACCACTTGCCTTTGCTCACCTCATCAGCCATACAAGGTAACATAGCAGCATCATGCTGATACCCCATCAGTATACGGATATCATGACAGAGATGAGAGGAAGATATTTACTATGTTTGCTGAGGCAAGCATAATCCCCTTCTGATACTAGCAAACAGAAGTCAGATCCCGGTGCAACACTTCAGCCTAAATTAATGGAAACATCCATTAAGTTTTAATACTCAAGTTCACCTTATTGTCCGTATCCTTCTTGCCAACTGCCGACTGTAGAGCATGAAGAAGGGCATCCACCAAGCCATCACACTCTCTGAGTCTTCTGCGTGCTTCTGCTCCATCTGAACTTACATTCCTAACAGGAGAGATTTAAAAGAAAATTTAGCCCTCTGACCTTCACCATAAAGTTGAAGGTGCGCCAATTTATACTACAATTATTAAGAACTCATTACCTTGGATGAACAATTTGGAGGCAAAGTAGTCTGATAAACCTATTAAATCTCAGTAAAATATGGGCAATGCACATCTGCAACTCCCTGAATCTGAACGAAAAGGTGGACACAGTCACAGAGGTGCCTACAAACACATTTTTCTGAATTGCTGGTGAGTCCAGTGATATGCCTTAAACTGGATAGGAGTTTTCAGAGCAAACAATATGCAAATCAAAAATTTAATCAAAGCCAGAATTTTTAATCTGAAAAATACTTCACCACCTTAAGAAAAACATGCAAAATCACAAGACTGCTCAGCAGTATTCATGGCCAGAGAAACTGAGAAATGAAAAAGATTAAAAACAGGTGTACAATAAGCTATATTTTATTTAATCAACCTGTATATAAAATTGTTCTTCACTTTCTTTGGCCCCCATCTGCTCCAAAGAAGTCAGATGGGAGTCACCATGTACAACTGCTGTCTCCTTGACTGCTTAAAGGTTCTCCAAATCTGTTCTGTATCCCCAGCTTTCTGACTGGAAGTTACTGCCACCCAGTCTAAATCCCACATTATGACATTTAAAGCCCATCTTTCACACTGTGTACAGCAGATTCAGCACAAAGGCTGGATCAGTCACATTTAGAAAGTAAAAGACGGCAGTCAGTATGTTTATATGGCTTCAAATTTCTCAAAGCATTGCACAAGAGAATGGCACAGGTAGAAGATGCGAGACAGAGCAGTGAAAGGCTACTCAGAGTTGTTAAAGTTGCACATATCAATGACTGCAGAAAGCGTTAGAGGGGAGCTATGAACTTAGCCTCACTTGTCCAGCAAGCATGCACGCTACATACTGAAGCCCCCGCCTTGCATAAGCATCAACCTGCCGTTACCCAGTAAATAAATAAAATTCAAGTCAATTTTCCAGGCACTGCCTCTTCCCCCCCCCCCCCCCCCCCCCTTCCCCAACTTTTCTTCTCT